GGGGGAGGCCTCCCCGCGCTAGCACCGCGTCGGCCCGGGCCCCTGCCTGCGGAGGTCTGCCTCCCGGGGGAGGGGGAGGAGGCAGGGGAAAGGACAACAAGCGAAACAACTTCTGCAAATTAAAAAAGGAAAGAAAAAAAATAAAAAGAGGCTCGGTCGTGGGACATCTTTAAAGCTCAGCACCACTCCAGGCATCCGAGTCACAATAAAACCCACCACGCTAGTGAATCTCACCACAGTAACGGGAGGAAAGCTGGCTGCGGCCACTGCGCCGAAGTTGTGCACGCTTTAGAGTCGCCTTGGCTTTCTGGCTGGAAGATGGTTCCTGCAGCAGGACCGTGTTGCTGCTGACAAACCGTGGGGTCGTTGGAAGATGCCTTCCTTGGGGATTACACGTGGAGAAAGGCTATCAGTCAAGGGGAGAGCTGGCTGGTGAAACTGTCTGACTTTCCCCCCCACTGGGGAAGTGGCTTCAATGGCTCCATCTCCCAGGAGAAGCAGTAGGAAAGATGCCAACGCCTTGCCAAGCATGTCTTCAACTTTCTGGGCTATCATGATCCTGGCTAGTCTCCTAATCGCTTACTGCAGTAAGTACATATTTGTCCTGGTGCTTTTGCTGGACGTAAATCCACGCCCTTCCCATCCGATGTAACGCTTCTGGCAAAGGCTAAGCTCTGAAGCTGGCAGGCGTAGGTACTTGTGCCTTAGGCGTGCCACCTCGACACATCTCCCCCTCTCCCCCATGGTAAAGCAGGCAGACTGGCACTTTAATACTGCTGCTTCTCGGAAGCATGAGGTGTCCTTAGTTGAAGATGTGGCATTTCCAGTCCAAACAGAGGCATCTCTTGGATCTAAGAACAAACTTTTTAGTGGTAGTAACCGTGATCCGCTGTTCACTGTTTATTATCAGATGTTACCAGCTCTCTCCCAGACTGCTCCCTCTGTGTACACACTCTGCTACCCCCGTCCACCTTCCATGAACAGAAACTATTTTGCTTATGTTCATTCCTTTAGGAAGTATATACTTAGTCAAGTGACAGATGTCTTAACATCACTGGGATCGTATGTGATTCTCTGACTGTGAAATCGCATTGGAACACCCCGGCACTTCCTTAGTATATCCTCAGCAGTTTAGTAAGCCCATGCTATCAGTTTTAGAGCTTCATCACAGGTTATCGGTAGAATTTTGTATATTCTTTTTCAGGCATGATAGATTGTCCATTTATCACACTGAGTTGCAGGTAAGGTATCTGTAAGAATCAAGTGCCTGGACTATTAATACTTTTAAAGGTCTTTATTTTTTCTTCTTAGTTTTTTTGCTCTCGGCAAGAGTCATTTTCAAGCAGTTATGTAATATAAATACAGTTAACGCCCATACTTCTGGGGAATGCAAGTTAGTCCGTAGTACCAGAGTAGGAATCTTTCAAAGATAATAGGAAAAGCAGTTTCTATGCAATAATAAAAAAATAGGTAATTTATTAGGAGGAACCTGCACAACTTTGCCAAAATGAATCTACACTGTATTTTCCCAACCTGAGCTGAATGTGGTCTGTAATTTACCCATAGTGCGTATACCTTTCATTAGCTGTAGCATAAAAGACTTTGCACTAGGCTTGTCTTGTTGAGCTGCAATAGGTGTAGGTCATGATGAATAGGAAATGGATTCTTGTTTTCAGGAGCATGCCTGCTGCATTTCTTAACCCTCTATTCCATTCGCTCCAACCGCATTATACTCTCCATTTTTTAGTGGTTTTTTTTTTTCTGAAACAAGATTGCAATTGGCTAAGAGAACCTTTAATTCACTTTTTTGCATGTTACAGGGACTCCTCGTACTGACAACAGTGAAAGAGGCTTATTCTAAAAAGAATAAAATATTTGTAATTATTTTTTGTAATTTAGCACATTTTGCATTACACTTCTCATAAAAAAACATATCAAACAGGCCACACTTTTAAATAATTTCATTTTGTATGTAATGCCATATTCAATGTGCTAATATAGAGGGTATACTAAACAACATACTGAGATTTAAAAGAATTTATGTGTATACTGGGAGATAAGTGACTCAGTAAATGCATATTACAGGATGAATAGTTCAAGTGTAAAGGGAATTCAGCTGGATATTAGTAATAGGAAATATTTCATTAAGTTTGTGCTAGAAATGTCTGGAGGGTCCCAGGCTTTTATGAGAAGATATGAGTTCTTCTGTGCAGATATCTTCTACCAGCATAGCCTCAGAAAGAGTTAACTGTAAACTCTGACACCTTAAACATTATTTATATTCAACAGTGAGAGGATTGACAATGTTCTGTTCTAACGAATGAAGTTGTCCATTTAAATTGTTATATATTGTTCATTATTTATTTTTTGCATTGTTTACTGACGCTGAACAATGCAAATATTAGCCAATAATATGAAGGCAATTTCTGGTGTGCTTCAATGACCAGTTTCTAATTAGTTCTCTCAGCCAGTGTGGATGGTGTGCCTCAAACATGTAGTACGCTCTTCATTCCATATAGTGCTGAAAACCACCATGCAGCTTAAAATATGCAGTGTCAAAACACTCCACCATTTATGTAATGTTTCACTGATTTGACAACTGCAATTCCAAATGTTAATGAAGCACCATGAACATTTTCTCTCGTGGTAGTATTTGAAAAACTGCAAAAAATGTTTTTGCTCTGTGGAAAGGGTGAAGATCTGTAAAAATTAAGGAAAAAAAATGTGACGCTATTTCTAGGTAAAGTAGTACTGCAAATTTTATGAATTCTTCTAAAAATCATCTAGGGTTTATTCAGTCTTTTTTTCATCCGATGCCTTGTTTTTTGAAGAAAAGCATACTGTCGTGTGTTTGTTTTCTGAAAGAAGGAAGGGGGGGGGGGGGGGGGGGGTGGTTGTCAGTTATGTTTTAAGAATAACAGCCTTGCCATATTTCTTAGCAAGTAAAAGAAAAGAACTTGACAATGTAAGGTGTTCTGTATTTTTCCACACACCTTATATTCAGGTATATGGAAGTATACCAACTTAAATCTCTGATATCAAGCAGACTTCTGTAAAAAAACAATACAGTTGAATACATTATTAAAGTAATTACAGGAACCTCTAATCTGATTTTCTCTCACTGTATGATTTTACTACATTTACATCAAACCCTGCAGCTCAAAAAAAAATCAGAACTTTTGCATATTTCCTTTTTTTAGCACTGTAAATAAAACTTTTGATCTACCTTGCTTATTTTAATTTTTAATCTATTGGTCTGACAAAGCTTATTCCTGAATGAGTTATATGAATGTTTCTTCCCCTTCCCCTAAGTACTTTGTGAATCTTTGTTTCTGGGAATGTATTTGTTGTACAATAGTCATCCCTATTACTGGCAGCAACCAGTAAACACCATACTCTGAGCTCCACTTGACAGATAAGCATATTTATAAAGCATGTTCTGGATGTATATGTACATTCCATTAGCCTTTCATTTATACTTTAATTTCTGAAGCCCAATTAAATTCTCTTTAACGTGGTAAAATGCTAAATTGATCATTTTTTCTTTCTTAAATGTTTGGATTATACTTAGGGATAGTGGCTCCATCCTATGGTGAAAGAGAAGCCTGCAACAAATCAATTAGGTTAGTTGCTATAGTGATAAATATAATGTAATCTCCAACTGAAGAAAAATGGTGTGATTTGGTAGGTTCTCAACAGGAGAAGGCAAAAATGAAGTAGTAGAAATAGGCTGTTTATAGTCCTTGGTGTGACCACCAAGGAGTTAGTTTACTTACCAGAAGCATCAGTAAATGTAAAAACAGTGTCAGAAGGCTATCCTGGTAAAGGGTGACCACCTTCAACGGCAATTCAGAATTAGAGGAGTTGTGACATTTTTGGATCCCAGACATGCATTCAGCATACTTGTTTAATGAACAGCGGTAGACCAGAGAGAAGTACCTACAGTGAATTATTTTAAGTTACTGTTTTTATGTTGTGAAGGTACGTTGAATTGGTTTTTTTTCCTTTTGTAACTAGGATTTACATTTTTCCATGTTAGAAAGTTTGGTCAAATTAAAGGAATTTTCTGTGGCATCAAAGCTGCATGCTACATCAGAAATCTAAAAATAACATGGTTTTGATTCAGAATTATTTCTTAGTGCATTTATTCAGTTGGCTTTGCTGTAAATACTGAGGTGCTTTTTATACGTAAATGGTGGCTTTTTAAACAACATATGATTCAGCTTTAGCAAAGTTGTGGCTGTTATGAGCTTTTGGCTTTCTGTATTTTATACTGTTTTGTAAGCATAAGGAATAGAACATTAGACCCCTGTGGTGTTATAGGTTTTGCTGTTCTGTTAAGGTAATACTTCTAAGGGCAAGCAAATGGGTTTTTTGAAAGGAACTATCAAAACTGAATGGTACTTGGAAAGTTCACCTTCTTGTTTTAAATCTTGCGTATGGAAGAGAGCAATATGAAGACCCGCATTTATGATGACTAAATGGTGATAGTACTAGGAAAAAAGAATTCAAAAGTCCAAAATGCAAAATATTTCCCTTAACTCTACAGTTCTGCATTGTAAGTGCAAGTTCTTTCACAGTAATAAGAAATGGAAAGAGGAAATGTTCTCCTAATTCGTTATTTCTTTTGCTTGCAGAATACAAAATAAGAACATTGTAATGATGAAATACTGATAGGTTCTATTAAATGACTGATTCTGCAATCTACCATTTAAATCTGTGGAATTTGTTGAGCAGAAAAATCAAGCCCTTAGCATAAATAACAAAAGTGTCTCAAAGATTTTGCATGGTATCATACAAAATGCAGATAATTCCCATGAAAAATATTATATTGACCTCACCTTAAATTGAGATCCTGTTGTTACACATTGGGTGGACACTGCTCATTTGAGAAACACCTTTTCATCGTCCTGTTCTGGAATTACTTTCTGTCTAGAAGACGCAGGCTACTATGGTCTCTAGGTCTTATTGTTCCCTTATGCTCTTTGAGACTGCCAGCAGGGGTGACAATTAGCTGTGACTGTCACCTGGACACCTCTCCAACAGGAGCTACCATATCATCATGCATTAGCTACTGAACAGCTGTTAGATGATAAATGGTCACTGCTGATTTATGTTGGATGCAAACAAGTCACCTCTGAATGAAGGCCTACAGCTCCTCAAACCGATCCTGTATCATTCAGATCACTTTCTCTGGTTTTTACAAATGAAAAAGATTTTTTTAATCCATCCAAACTGATCTGTAGTTTTATTATGTTTTCTTCAAGAATTACTGTGCTTGCATTTTTCCAAAACTCCGCAGACAGAATAAATGTGACATTTAGAGCAACTGTCATTATTCAAACTTTTTTTCAGTCTAGTTTGTGTATAGAAATAAAAACTAATGATTTTATGACATTAAATAAGAAAAGCAAGGTATTAAAATTTTGTCTCTTTATATAACATATAAACATAAAAAAAATATATAAAAACATATATAACATCCCAGCTGCTCCTTTTTAAGAAGGTTCATTTTTTGAATTAAAACCAGTGCTTTGAACTTAATGGCCTCTACAGCATACTACCTGTCAATGTGAGTACCAAACTG